TTTTTAATTTTTATTAATTTAATGAAAATTTACAGAGACTTTGGATCTCTATTCATTCATTGTTGTACTTTTCTCCCCTCCCAACCCTCCTCCCCAGTACACTCCCCTCTTGGAAAAATAAAAGAAAAATTCTTTCATTGTTTTGTAATCCCTCCCCCCAGGTCCACTCCACTATGCAGCCTTCAATCTGGACTCCTGTCATGACAAAAATACCTAATCACATATCCCTTTTAAACAGTTTTCTCCCTCATCTATTTCAATGCAGTATACATTATTGAACCCATCTTTCTCAATCTCCTCCCAATCCTGAGGTCAATCCCATTTTACAACAGTGGCACCATGCAGTATTTGTCCTTCTGTGACTGAGATACTTCACTCAGCATAACGTCCTCCAGGGTCACCCATTTTGAATAACATTGAATGAGTTCCTAGTTTTTCGATGCAGCATAGTATTCCATTGTGTGAATATACCACAGCTTCTCTATCCCTTCGTTTGTTGATGGGCGCTTAGGTTGTTTCCAACTCCTTGCTATTGTGAACAAAGCCACAATAAACATGGGCGTGCATATATCTGCTTGTATAGCAGTTATGGTCTCTTTGGGGTAAATTCCCAGTAGTGGAATTGCTGGGTCAAATGGTATCTCTATTTGCAAATTTTTGAGAAAGCTTCATACTGCCTTCCACAGTGGTTGCACCATTTTACACTCCCACCACCAGTGAATAAGGGTTCCAGTTTCTCCACAATGTTGCCAGTATTTGTTGCTTGCTGTTTTGTTAAATTTTGCTATTCTGACTGGGGTCAGATGATATCTCATAGTTGTTTTGGAAAAAGATAATTTCATTTTCAAAAGAGAAAGCAAGCGTGAGGAGACACATTTTGCAAGTCAGCACCCTTATCTTGAATCTCAATGAGTCATTGAAAATCCTCTTAAATCCTGTCTCTAGGCTTCAGAAGATGCCAGAATTAAAATATCAGACTCCATTATAAAAGTGAAAACTGTTGATTTCCTCTAACCCCACCCTGTTTCTCCAGTCCAGACATGCTTGTCTTGGTGGGTGGTGGAAGGAGGACCTGCACAAAAGGGAAGGGAAGAGGAACACTCCAAGTCAGCCACTAGCCGTAGGAGGAAAAGCTGGCTTTACTCTTGATTTGTGGCATTGGTCTGTCTTCCTTACTTTCATCCTTTGTCTTTCTAGAAAACAAATGTTTTTCCCATTTGTGAGGGAAGGACCTTTATGCTGTCTAAAAGGTCCAGCTCACAGTATAAAAGGTTGCATACTGGAGTTTTAATCAGTCTCTCTCCGTTATTTTTCAGGGACTGTTGCCATGGCTGGGAAGCCCAAGCTTCACTACTTCAATGGACGAGGCAGAATGGAAACCATCCGGTGGCTCTTGGCTGCAGCTGGAGTGGAGGTAAGCAGGAAAGTAGGAAATGGGAAGTAATATTTACCTTCAGCCTCTAAGAAACAAAAGATCACAAGAGATACAGTCATATCATTTTGTTTGGAAAAGAAAGCATTAGCATACAAAGTGAAAATTCTATTGGAACCCCATTTTCTTTTTAAAATTTATTTTCTTTTTTATTATTATTAAATTTTTTTAGTTTTAATGAACATTTACAGAGATTTTGGGTTTTCATTCATTCATTGTTGCACTGTTTTCTCTACCCTCCTCCCAAGTTCGTTCTTTTTCCCCCCCCTTGAATGTCTGTTTTAATTGTCCAATTGCTACAGTGCTTGTCAAAGCCTGTTCTGCTTAATCTCCTTTGTCAGTGTGTCCTTTGCCATTCCCTATCACTCCACCCTGAGAGAGACTTCACCCTGATTCATAAGGAAAAGGGGATGGCGTATTCTCTTAGCTACTTCCTGCTGAAAAGGGACGCTGTAGGTTTCAGGGTGAAGATCTTCTCTCACTACTCTAAAGGGCCCCTTTGGCAGTAGGAAACACATAGACTATTATGGAGATTGATTTTGGAATTTAGATGCACTGTTATCAATTGTGCTTAGCCGTACATGTTCATATCCTTGAAGATGTATCATGGAAGTGTTGCAGCCTAGAAGACACAAATTTAGCTAACAAGTTAAAAGTACATGAGTCAAAAATTAAAAAGCAATAATATTCTGAGTAGAGGTTCTAATAGTGGCAAAAATAAAGTTACAAAGGGAAGGTGGGAACCCCTTTTCTTATTGGCTTCCTTTAAGCAAACTCCATCCAACAATGATGTCAGCTTAAGGATTAAAGTGCACCTGACCCAACCCATGGTATTTTCAGTGGCTTCCTATGCATCAGAAAGTTGGACAATGAATAAGGACAGAAGCCAAACTTTTAATAGTGCCTTTGAATTGTAGTGTGAGAGAAGAGTACTGAAGAGTAACAAATGAACAAACACACTGTTTTGAAGGAGGCACAACCAGGGTGCTTCTCAGAGACATGGATGGTGAAACTCTCATGTTTTCCTTGGAGTAGGATATTGTGCTGGGAAAGGCAGAGTCAGTGAAAGACAAGATGATCCCCAGCAAGATGGATTGGCACACAGTGACTTTAACAATGGGCTCTAGTATACTAGAGAAGGTAAAGACAGTGCAGGATAGGGAAGAGTCCAGACATGCTGTTCATAGGGTCACTTACAATTATAGTCGACTCAATGGCACCTGACACTAATAGCAACACTCAACAATATCCAGTATTGACTTGTGTGCTGATTTGTCCATATGACGTGGGTAATTGGTAGGTGAAGAGGCAATCATAAGAAAGACCCACAGAGACAGAAAGAGGGGCAGAAGGAGAAGATAGACAAAAGATGGGCAGATAGGCTCTTGGTCATTTACTTTTTTTTCTGTTTTTCAAGGAACAATTATTATGTGGAATTAGACCCACACAAAATACAATAAAACTTCTGCAAATGCAATGTAAACCCAAAGCCTACAAATCTTAAAATGCTATTTATTTTGATACTTACCTATTAAAAATACTCATTACAGGAAATATTAAATATTTTTTCAACTTAACATTTTATAAAACTTGAATTTGTAATTTTCTATTCTGATTACTTAGTTTTTATAAAGCAAAAAACAAAATTATCTTTTAGTTACTCATTACTTTGTTGTTTGAACAAAATTTTTGGAAAAAGTATTTTCTAATTTGGGCATGTTGCAAGGAGGTCCTTGGTCATATTTGGCAGAGTGGAGGGGCAGCCCAGGAGAGGAAGACTTTCAATGAGATGGATCGATTCTGTAACTGGAGTGGTGGGAATGAGTGTGTTTGAGACAGTGAGGTTGGCACAGGATAGAACGGCATTTAGGGCTCTTGTACATAGGGTCGCTATGAGTCGCAGGTGACTTGATGGCACATAACAACAACAACAACAATTTTGTGCTGGGTGTTTAGCTCTCTCATTTAGCTAGTAAAGACTACAGGAAAATCCTACTGTTTTAAATTTTGTGTAAAATTATTCAGATGTATAAAAATCTATCGATTATTTGAAAATATCTGCTTAATATGTGAATGTATGTAAAAGAGAAAGTACACAGAAGTTACATGGTAATAAATGAACAAGATTAAAAACCTAAAGACAAAAGAAAAAGATCTTGAAATCATCAAGTAAATTCTACTTCCACTCATATGTCCCTCCTTTGGAGTAAATTAAATTCTGTTGTGAAATTACCATCATGTGACTTCTGAGATTTACTTCCAATTAATTTCTGTGTATTAAGCTTTTTAACAAGTGGACAGACCCCATGATGTCCAGCTCTGGCTCCAACTCCCTTTGGGGACATTGTGTCCCTCAGGACCTTTGACATCCAGGGATCTGAGGAGGCTGGACCAAATGAGGGGAAAAGACCCTGAATGGATAATGGAATGATCAACCAAACATTTGTGGTTTGGGCACTGGAAACCAAGAGCACTCAAGTGAAAGCTGAGAGAAAACAGAAACCAATGGGCAGCTCTTAAACTGAGCCCAAGAGTTTGTCTTTATTTTACATTACCTCATTCAACATCATGACAGCAGCATGAGTAGGTCTTATCTTTGTTTTTCTAGATTAGGAAACTCTTGTTGGAAGACGGTTAGTAATTTACCTCAGTGAATTAAGGGGACCAATGATGTCCGTTTAAAGACTGAGATGTGCCTGATTGAAGCCATGATTTTTCCAGTCACCTGCTATGCACCTGAGAAGTGGACAGTGAATAAGAATGACAGAAGAAGAAGAATCTGCTGTCAGGGACCTCTCCAAAATCCTGAAGAGCAATGATGTCATTTATAAGACTAAAGAATTTGTTGTTGTGTGCTGGTGAGTCGAAACTGACTCATAGCTGACCCTCCCAACAGATTTTCAGAAGCAGTTAATTGCATGTGAGGAGATTGTCCCTCCTTCTCCCATGAAGCAACTGGTAGCCTCAAACCACGTGTCTGTGAGATTGCAGAACAGTTTCTTGTCACTAGGCCACCAGAGCTCAAAAGTATACCTGATTCAAGCCATAAGCTTTCCAATTACCTGCTATGCATCTGAGACCTGGATAAAGAATAGGGGTGACAGAAATTAATTGATGCCTTTGAATTGTGGTGTTGGAGAACAGTGCTGAGTAATCCCAGGAACTGGCTGGCAAAAGAACAAATGAATATGTCTTGGAGAAACCAGAATTTTTCTTAAGGCAAGGATGGTGAAGCTTTATCTCACATACTTTTGGCATGTTGTTACAAGAGGCTATTATCTGGAAAAGGACATTATGTTTGGAAAGGCAGAGGATGTGAAATAAAGGAAGGCCCTCAGCAAGATGGTTTACTACAGAGACTGCGACAGTAGGCTGAAGTGTATCAGGAATGGTAACAATGGCACAGGATAGGACAGGGTTCAGGTCTGTTGTTCACAGGATATGGACTAACACACGAACTAATACGACCAAGAGCTGTATTTGACTTGATGTCACCTAACAATTAAGGAGAGTAGCCTACATTCAAAGCTGAGGCCTTGAATAGTTTACCCATTATATCTGTATAATAAGAGATATAAATATTACTGAATAAATGTAATTCAGTATACCCTTTGTTTTGACTTTTTAAAACCCTTCCATCAACTTAACTGAATGCTGTTGAGTCAGAACCAACTCATAGTGTCTTATGTGTGTTTTCAGAGGTTGTAAATTGTAGGAAAGGAGACTGTCCTATGGAGCCTTTGATAGTGGGTTTAGTAGTGCAACTCTCTGTGGATTACGCCACCTGGTTTCATAGGACTCAGGGAACAGACATCTTGAGTTCTACTTGAAAAAATGGTTTAATTGGTGATTGTACTTTTATGTTGTGACTCACACTTTAGCATGATCAACAACAGTATTATTAACAATAAAAATGATAATGTTTATTTTTTGCTGTCATCTCAGAACTGACCCATAGCTGACCCTCCAAAAAATTTTCAGTCTCCTCCTGTGATTGTACAGGCATCCTGCTTCCACAGAGCAGCTGGTAGACTCAAACCCCTTGTTCCTTGAGGACTACAGTGCAGATTCTTGCCACTAAGCTATCGATAGCAATCTATTTTTTGTTCTTTCAACAATTTATAATTCTACAATTTGTTCTTTCATTTTCAGTTTGAAGAAGAACTTTTTGAAACACGTGAAGAATTTGAAAAATTAATCCAAGGTGAGGTCTAAACCTTGTTACTCATAGTGTTGCATTAGATCAAGTTAATGAAATGGTCTTAACATTATTATGAAAGGTAGACACCACCCCACCCTATACAGTCAGATACTCTCAATGATTCTAAGTCAAAACTTTAAAAGATATGTAGGTACTATTTATTAATATCTCTATTTTAACACTTGATAAAGGAGTTTAAAGACTAAAGCCTTCAATATGGACATCTTAATATCAAGAAAACAAAAATCCTCACCACTGAACCAATAGGAAGCATAATGATAAATGGAGAAAAGATTGACATTGTTCATGTTGGATTCATATAAGTATTCAAAACTTCAAAAGGTATGTTGCATTGGGAAAATGTACTGCCAAGGTCTCAACAAAATACTAAAGAGCAAGCATATAAGTTTAAAGACTAAAGTGTGCCTTATTCCAGCCATGGAATTTTCAATTACTTCTTATGCAACTGAAAGTTGGACAATGACTAAGGATGACAAAAGAGAAATCAATGCCTTTGATTTGTGGTGTTGGAAAAGAGTATTGAATATTCCCCAAACACAAATCCGTCTTTGAGGAAGCACAACCACAATGCTCCTTAGAAGTGATAGTGGGGAAACGGCATCTCACATACTTCAGCCATGTTGTGAGGAGGACCTAGTCATTGAAGAAGAACATCATGTTAGGAAAAGTGGAGGGTCAGAGGAAGATCTCTAACAAGACAGACTGACATAGTGACTGTAACAATGAGCTCGAGCATGTAAATGATCATAAAGATGGCACAAGAAAGGGCAAGGCTCATCTCTGTAGTTTACAGGGTTGCTATGAGTCATGGTCAACTTGATGGCAACTGCTATATAAAAGATAGTACTTAGATCTTGTCACCAACAGTGGGTGACTTTAATCCGTGGCCCTCAGGCCTGTTTTTAATTGTTTTGGGTGAAGCATTCTTCTAGGTCATATAGCCCTTGTCTGTCGACTTGCTGTACAGAGGTAACTTGTGGTTGCTGTGAAGCTGAACACTGTGACACTGATGTGCCAAATGCGATAGTGGTTACCCATAGTGGACAGTGTTTGCTGGAACTCCCTGATTAAAACAAGCTTGAAAGCAGGAGTGGCATCCACTTCCGAAACAGCTTGCCTCCGGAAACCCTATGAACCTGGAGAAAGGATGGAAATTATACAAGCATTCAGGTCTTTCGTTCATAGGGTCAGTATGAGTCGCCTACAACTCGAAGGCACTTAACAACAACAACAACAACAACAACTTAGATCTTTCAGCAAGCGTATCAGTGGTTCAATTAAGTGTAGACCATCTTCCAAGCTTCTAAGTTGCAGTTACTCTAAACTCCCTTCCTTTGTTTCTTAAGCACTTAACCTCTGTTTTCTATAATTTCTACCTTTGATATCAAAGTGTTCTTTTTTGTTACCCTTTCAATTCTTTGGGAGACTAGGTTAATCACTGTTTACATTAAATCATCTTTGTTAAAGTAACTTATGTAGTTGTCTTTTTGCTGGACCCTGACTTGATCTAACCAGGAGGCCAAGGATGTCTTTCCAGTTGGGACAAGTAAAAGCAGAAAAACCAAGAAATTACTGCCCAAATATGGTCCAAAGAGATGAGGCAAAAGGAAAGGAGAATTGGCATCCACTTCCTAAACAGCATGCCTCTGGAAATTCTATGAACTTCAATAGACAACAAGAGTTATAGAAAGGCTTCAAGTTTTTTGTTCATAAGGTTGCTATGAGTCGTGCTACACTCGATGGCAATCAACAACAACAACATGGTGTTAAATGAGAAGAGCACGGGCTAGACTATTGTCCTGCCAACAGAGACAGAAAAGAGAAAGTCTGTTCTTTTTTTTTTTTAATCAAACCATTGCTCTAAATGCAAAGATTCATTGGAAAGTTGGAAAATTATCTTAAAGAGAGCTGAGAATACTTTCAGAGAAGAGAGTATTTTCTATCAAACACGCAATACTCTCAGAGAAGAGAGTATTGCGTGTTTGATAGAAAAAGGGAGAAAAGGGGCAAGGAGGTTCATACAGGTGAAGAATAATATTTGGAAGGTACATGGAAACAAATATCAAGAAACACTTTGAATTCAAGCTAACAAGATTGTCACTTTCTTGTAAGGAATGAGGGGGCATAAAGATATTTTAAACAGAGCCTTATTTATATTATCAGGACAACAATTCTGGGTGTGCATGTGGAGTAAATGAGAAGAGCTCATCTGGCAAGAAAGAGCCCCCAGGTAGTGCAAAGAATTAGGCATTCAGCTACTAATCAAAAATTGATGGTTCAAATCCACCCAGAGAGACTGGAAAAAAAGGGCTGGCAATCTACTTCTGAAAAATTAACCATTGAAGACTGCATGGAAGGTCGTTCTACTCTGACAACACTGGATAATCATGACTCAGCACTGACTCAATAGCAACTGGTATTTTGTTGTTTTTAACCTGGAAAGAGGCCAAGTTTGTTACTGGGACATTATTGTGGTAGTTTGGAAGCAAAGAGAAGCTAAGTTAAAAATTGTTATTGTTATGTGCCATCAAGTTGAAACCAACTCATAGTTGACCCTCCAGCGGGTTTTCAGAGGCTGTAAATGATACAGGAGGAAACTGCGCATCTCCCTCCTAAGAAGCAACTAGTGACTTTGAACCGTGCTCCTTTGGGCTGGCAGCACAGCTCTACCAGAGCTCCCTTCAATTTTGTCAAAGCCATTGTCATAGAGTCAGAACAGATTCATAGCAAATCATGATTCATAGTGGGCTTCTGATGCTGGAATCACACAGGAGAATGCCCATCTTTCTGCTAACGAGCCACTGGTATATCTTAGTTGCTAGAAAGGTGCCACCTTTGGGTCAGCAGTACAATTCTCTATGGACTACACTACCAGAGCTCCCATAAACTCTAGCCATAGGAGACGAAATAATAAAAACATAGTGTCCTTGACTAGAAAGTAAGCTTTGCATATCAGCATTATATCTTGCATTAACATGCTACTTTAAAAAATAATTTTATATTGGTTTGCTTACAAAGTTCATATACATTGTGTTTCACACTATCCTTCATATTTTGTTTCATCTAGTCATTCCCAATCATTATGTTTCATAAAATGAATTGCTATTGGTCTATGCCCACCACTACCTTGTTTTTTCCAAGTCCCTGCCATATCCTTCCCATTTCCTTCACCCCTTCCCTCCACCCACCAAATTGTGCAACCCTGTGATTTTTGCCCCTACCCATCCTCACCTCCTCCTCTCTCCCCTTCCCCCCTTGGATTCCCACACAATTTTATTAGCTACCCTTCTATTTTTGCAACAATGGTCTTATTCAGTATTTGTCTTTATGAGACTGAGTTAGTTCACTCAGCATAATGCTTTTACATCAGTGAATGAATGAATGGGTGTTTCTCCTTATGGGTAAGTTTATAAGAATATTTTTATAAATGTTGTTGTTATTATTTGATCAGATATTACCACTGAATTTTGCAGCACTGTTAGAATAAAGAAAACTTAGTTACTACTAGTAAGGATAATAAAGGACTCTACTTTTGTGTATTTGAAGGTGGAACTCTGCTGTACGACCAAGTGCCTATGGTTGAGATCGATGGGATGAATTTGGTAGAAACCAGAGCCATCCTCAGATACCTAGCTGCAAAATATGACTTGTATGGAAGGAACCTGAAAGAACAAGCCTGGTATAACAATTACTTCCTGCTTAGAGCAAAACTTGGGGGGAACCCCAAAAAAACAAGAACTTTTAGGCTTACAAAGGGTCCTGATTGTCTAGCACATAATGTATTGGTTTCCTAATTAAACCCAGCAGTTCAAATCTACCAGTTATTGTACAGGATAAACATAGGCGGCCTCTTCTATTAAAGACTTAGTATAGCCTTGGGAACCAATCTGATGTGGGATCATTATGAGTCTCAAACAACTTGATGAAAATGGGTTTGTTTTGGTCTTGGTGGCATAGTTTACCTGTGGATTATTAACCAAAAGGTCAGAGTAAAATCCACCAGTCATTCAAAAGAAGCAAGAAGAAGCAATCTTGTGGCATTAAGATATACAGTATTGGAAACCAGTGAAGGGTTGTGTGACTGGGAACTGACACCACTGCAGGGGTTTTGGTGAATGGTAGGCTTACTGACAGTTATATGCAGTGCAGTTCCTGACAGATTAACAAAAAAATCTTCTCTTGTTGCTTTTTATAATGGAAAAATAGAAACACATTCCAAAAGAGAAAGAATAGTATACTGAACTCTATAAATAACATTTATGTTCAACAATTATCCATTCATGGCCATTACATATTACAATCGGTAGCATCAGGATGGATGGTGAAGAGATTGAGATTGTTCACAGCTTCAGTTTGCTCGGCTCCACGGTCAACACTCTTGGCACCA